TCCCTTCCTCCCTCCCTCCCTTCCTCAGCTGGTTCCTCCCTCCATGGCAGGGACCGCAATGGGTGTGCAAGGGCTGATCGGTCAAGTGGGCGCTTCTTGGGCGGGCGCCCCCGTGGGATTCGTCGCTCAGCACGTAGGGATCGTTCTCGCTCCCTTCCTCCCTCCCTCCCTCCCTCTTTCGTTCTCTTCCTTCTGTCCTCCCTTTGCGTGCCCGTGCCGTCCCCTTTGTAGCACTTCCTCTTTCCAAGAATGAATGAGCTTGGCTTGTGCTGTAGACGTACAAGAGGTAATCGCACGATCCACGACCCTATCCCTCCCTCCTTCCCTCCCGTCCTCCCTCTGATTCCCAGTGGGGATGGGGCGCTATAAGACATCTATGGGCTGCCTCTCTTCTTGCCTCTGCCGGCCTCCTCTCCGCCCCGGGGCTCATTGTTAAGGTCAGTGCGTGCCGCTTCTCCCCTCCCTTCCCCCCCGCCCTGCTCCCCTCCTTCCCAGGTGCAAGACGCCAATGGTTGTCCAAAAAGCCCCGTCACTCTCCCAAGTCCATCCACGCAGCGGGCCTCATTTCCTCCCCTCCCCCTTCCTTTCCCCTCGTTTCCTTCCCTGTTTCCCTTGACAGGCGCGTCGAGCGGCAGAGAGGCATCGGGGGAAGGAGGGTCCGTTGATAAAACTCTTCAATTACTACATCCCTCCCGAGGAGGAGAGGATGGAAGCATTGAGAGCGGCCCAAGCAGCCAGGGTTGAGCAAGTGAAAGGAAGTGGGCGGAGAAGGGAGAAGAAGGAGGATTAGGGGGAGGTGCGACGACGAGAAAGAAAGGGAGGGAAGGGGAGGGGAACCTGGGACAAAAAGGGGAGCTGCGTAAAGGAGGAGGAAGGAGAGGAGGGAGGGGAGGGATGCAGGTGATGGAAAGAAGAAGTCCGTATGCAAAGAGGTTCCAGGATAGGAAAAGGATGTATCTAATTGTACAGCTGAGATAAAAGAATCGAGAAAGGTGCGGAGGGTCACGATGTCGCACACCGCGCTCTCTTGAGAGCTCTGAATGACGAGGATGAGTGGGGAGTATAGGACGTGATGGAGAAGGAGCGAGGGGGGAGGAGGGGGGGAAAGGGGAGCGAGACGGTGGAATGTAGTGATAGCGCATACCACACATTTGTGGGGGTGTGGGTACCTCGTTGGCCCTACGAGGAAAGATACGGCCCATTCTTTGACTTTGTCATCCTAGAGATGGGCATTCAATTTTTAAAGGGATGGAGAAAGATTTAAAGTGAGGAATCTACAACGAAAGAAAAGCCCTCTTATAGGATCAAAGGTAAAAGCCTCAGAAGCTTTCTTGTCCGGGTTTAAATAATCCCTGCGGTACGGCACCCACCAAAACGGCCGCATTTCAAAAATGTACTATTTACTGTGCTTCAAGGTTTTTATCCTCACGAGGAATCTACGGAACGTACTCTTTAAAATTACACAAAAAACAAAACCGTCCATCAAAGCGTTGTGCCCGGAAACTAATGTCGACTCGATATGCAGTTTCGACTTCTCTTCTTTTACTAAATGCTTTCATATTCGTCTCAAATTTGTGTAGGCACTTTTTCCCATCTTATTCACACGCTCACCCAGCATTTCTTCATCGATTCCATTCGCGCAGTTCCTTGGGCAGTAACTCGTAAATTTGGCGCGAACGCCCTTTGCGTACAGCTTCTGCCACATCAGCAGACTGGGAAAAGGTGCGAAATGAGAAACAGGAGGAAGAGGATAAATTTGAACAACCTGCAACGCAATATTTAGGATATCGCGCGTTGACTTTCGTTCATTCACATCCCTTCATCCTTGCATTTGCCACGCAGTCTTGCTTGATCCGTTGCCCTCTCCTGATTCGTCCCTCCCTACCTGAAGCTCCAAAGTCAGAAAGGGCGCCCAGGATTGTCTGGTCTTACTCAGGCTCAGAAAGCCGTCCAGGGCTAGGCGTTGGGCGATTTCGAGCGCTTCTCCGTAGGAGGGAGTGAGGGAGGACGGGTGAATTTCCTGAAGTATTGTGGGAAGGAAGAAGAGAATAAGAGGACGAAAGGGCCGTGAAGGATAGGGGGAGCACGGCCATGCGTGTGTTTGCCTTCTTTCCCGTACCAGTTTGGAGAGTGCTGTACGCCACCGTCGATATACGTCAGGCATGGCCGCTTCCATCCTGCCGGAAGTACGATCCGAGGGAAGACAGTGCACGCAAGAGGGAAAGAAATGTAAGGGGAGCGCAAGAGGTGAAAGTAGGAAATGCGACCTGGCCCGAGCATTTAACAAAAGCGCGTCTGTAAATTTTCTGCAAGAATAATACAGGGGGAGACATGGAAAGGGGGACAAAAGTAGCGCCTTGCCGCTGTCACAACGTCATGTGCGTCCTCTTCTTCCTCCCTCCTTCCCTCCTTCCCTACCTCCCGCTTTCTACAGTGCTGCGGATAATGACGATGAGCACTAAAACCTGCGCGTCAGTCAAGCCCTCTTGCACCGCCCTAAAAATCGGCTTCTCCTGGTCAGGGGGTATCGTGAGAGAGAGGACGGGACGCAGAAGCGGGAGTGAGATGATAGCACTAGCCCGACCCTTGTTCGCAAGTCTGGGTCCGGCTCTCTCACGCGCCATTCGCCGGTTTGATGCCTCATGACCCTCCCTCCCTTTCAACATTCCATCGCTTCCTCCACACCTTCTCAACACTCGTCTTCCCCAATCTTGTCATCCCTCTCGTCGTCTCTTTGCCTGCCCCTTAAAGACTTTCTTTCCCTGTAGTTTCCTCACGAGCCAATCACTCCCTCCCACCCTCTCCTTGCCACATGCTTGCGTCCATCTTCTCGCCTGATCTCTATTCCTCGATCGATTACCCCCCACTGGCGCCCTCCCTCTCTCCCTCCCTCTCGATACACCTGCAACTCGCGTGCCGCCTGATTGATGAGAGCTATATCCACCAAGGGCTTCCTCTCTTCGACCTCCTTCCTGTCGGCGCCGGGGGAAGAAGCGGGGGCGCCACCCTCCCCTGTCTCCTCGAGAGCAGCGAGGCTTGAAGGGCGGACAGAGGGAGAGGAGAGGAAGCGGCGTTTGAGGTCGATGGCGTACCGACAGACCTGATTGAGGAATGGTAGGGAGGGAAACGGCGTGCGAGACCTCAGCGGGCACTGTCTATTCCTCTCGTGAGCTTCTTCTCCATCCTTGGACCCGAACACGTGGCGTGTGCTGCCCTCTCTTCTTCTGAAAGAAGCTTCCATCCTTGATTGTCCTGTCACCGGCGAACCAGGTCCCAGGAGTAACAAAGCCTCAAGGGCTTCTTGCCCTTCCCGGCCCCAACTGTACCCTCCCTCCCTGCTCCCCCCCCCTTTTTTTCCCTACCTGGAAGGCCTTGCGCAGGTCCCCCGACACGTTCGCGACCTTGCGACTGCACATTTGGATGCACTGGTCGTCGATCACCTGCGGCACCAGGCCTCCCAGTCTTGTCCTGAGGATGCTCGCCACCTGGAGGTGCGAGTAGGGCTCAAAGCGGACGCGCCGGAGGGAGAGGCGGGACTGGACGCGGGGCTGGGGTGGGGAGCGACAGGGAGGGAGGGAGGTCGGGGCACAGGGAGGAGGGGATTCGGTGGGACATCAAGACAGAAGAGAAAGTTCGCGAGAGGCTTCGAGGAAAGGCAAGGAAATGAGTCGCCCTCCCACATTCTCCCTCCCTCACTCCCTTCCTCCCGCCCTCCAGGCGTTCCTCCCTACCTGCATAACTCGCTCGGGCAGGTCGACGGTGTTGGAGAGACCGAGAAGAATGAGGCCTCGCCGGCCTCCGTCTCCGCCGGCGCCCCACTCCAGGAAGTTGTAGATGACCTGCGGGCCCGAGAGGCGGGAAGGGAAGAAAGAGGGGAATGGCAGGAAAGTGCGAGGGGTTACATCTCGAGAAAGGAAAGGAAGTACGATGTGTTTTACCGAGGAGATAGCGTCACTAAAGGCTTTCTTTGAGTTGAGATGGCATCGACCAGCTCGCCCCTCCTTCTTTCCTCCCACCCTTATCTCTTCCCCACCCCACTCTTATCTCTTCCCCACCCCTTCCCTCCTCCTTTTTCCGCCTTACTGACCTTCCCCTCCATTGTATGCAGGCTCTTCCCGACCAGGTAATCCATCTCGTCCAAAACCACAACCACGGGGCGGGCGCGCCGCTGACGGGAGGTAGACTAGAAGGGGAGGAAGAAGGGAGGGAATGAGGGAGGGAGTCGATCAGTCACAAGCATCAATCCCGTCGAGTCCTGAGGGTCTCAGGCTCACGCAACATTACGAACATAGCCCCTGGCCTGCCGCCCTGAATTCTTTGATCCCGCTCTCAAACCCTCCTCCCCTCTATCAGCCTCTTCTCTCCCTCCCCTCCGACCAATCCCTCCCTCCTATTTTAATCCACAAAGCCTCTTCCTTCATCACGCACCAGGGAGGCGGACGAAGGGGTGGAGCGCACGGTGGAGGAGGGGCCGGTGAAGAAATCGGCGAGTTTGCTCAGAGCACGGGCGGGAGAAAGCGCAGCCTCGCGCTGGTCCGTGAGAGCAGCCCAGAGAAGAG